GCGTTTCTTGTTATTACATTGACACTAATTTTTGCCATCAAAATATTCACATTTTTTTAATGTTACAAAGGTAATAAGTCTTGTCCTGGATTCCAATAAGACTATTGGCTTGAAATTTTGATCTTCTAAATATATTTTACTGAATGCCCTGTAAAGGGTCAATAGAGTGTGGGGGTTTTGAGACAGAAAAAATAAATACCTTTGAATATATAAAAAAACTATTTGAGCTAAAAAATAAAAAAAAATGCAAATGGAAAATGTTTTAGAAGTTTTTGTTTTTCAAATGTGTATAAGGTTTTCAGAACAAAACTTCCAAGACCTTAAAGCATGCGCTCCAATAGCCCAACACTTCTTTATTATGGGTTTGCATGTTGGATTTCGGTTCATAATCATAAGAAAAAAATGAGCCCATCAACTGATAAGACCTTTTATTTCATCAATTGAGAAGGAAACATGTAAAAACAGTGTACAAAGTTTATATTATTTGTTTACTAAAGCTGGTGTCTTCGGCCTCAGGAATACAGGAGGGGCAGGTACAAAAAAAAGTTGCAGTAAAAAATATAAAATGAATTTTCTTTCCCTATTTTCAGGTGACAGCCAAGAGAGGAGTGTGCATAGGAGTAACAAACAGAATGAAAGAGTGAACAAAGGTTTGTCAACAACTGAAGAAAAAACAATATTAAAACCATTACATTCAATGAAAATATGCACTTTTGAAGTATGATTATCATTTGTTGTTAAAAAAAATACTGAAATGCTTCCAGTAACTTCTGGCAGAGGAGCATCAGTTTGAGCCTCAGCAGAAGAAATGCTTCAAACACATGAAGTCTTAGAAAAAGGAAGCTAATTTAGTCTTTACCAGCCATAAGTTACACATAGGGGGTTCCTAATACAATCATTTTTGGGTAACAAAGTGCATATCATTGGCACAGTGAAACTCCGTTTCATCCATATTGGTCTCATAAATAACTCAGAAGCTCATGAGTGGGGTAAAGGTCCCCTTAAAAAAGCAAAACAAAGATGACTGGGTTTCCCCATGAAGCCTAGTTTGCTTGCGAAGTACTCCTAAAGAAGTGTATTATGTTGAAGTGACCTCACTGAGGCTGCAGCATATGCACCAGGTGGAATATAACACCCAATAGTGTACTGTACACAGAGGGAAAAACCCAAAGGAAAGGAATTCGGAGCAGAAGGAGCATCCAGATGAAAAGGCACCAGGAGTATAAGCACTTATGTCAGGACCTGGAGATGCTTTCTTTTTATTAGCCTGTACAGGAAACAGTGGGTCTGTGATGTGCAAAGAAAAAAAAAAAAGAAAAAAAAAAAAAGAGATCAGTCTTGCTCGAGTTATTCGCATCATACTAGACTGTATTGCACTGCCGATTAATCAGACCCGTTGTGGCGTGGAATGACAATACATTAGACTGGTTTTGCATTAAGGGTAGATTAAAGCGAAGATGGCTTTTTTCAATTTTAGGGAATTAGGCATGTGTTACAACACATTATGCAGGAAGATTAACTTTATTTGATGCAGTACATTCATTTTTATGAGGCCAAACATTGTCTGAAGAGACTCAGGAAACATGGATAAATCACCAACTCAACAAACAACACACTCTCTGCTTTACATGATGTTTTTGGTCCACAGCATGCCTAGAACCTATTTGAAATGGTTGATATTTTATTGAATTCACACAACCCCTTTACAAAAAAATAATAACAATAACATATTTTATTGAGTTATGGGAGTAGCCCAATTTGTGCATAGCAAATTTTCCCCATTCATTATGGGATGCCTGCTCTGTACAGCATAACAACCAGGAAATGCAGGGATAGTGTTTTCTCCATGGTCCGTCTTCAAAGGCCACCAAAAACAAGCTCGTTTATCTTGCTTTTTGTTTCGTACTTCCTCCATCCTGTGAAAACAACAACAACGACGGCTCGCAGACTGAGACATCCGATGGGGGGCTGAGGGAGGGCTTGTGCAGACAATGCCGGGGGAGGACTAGGCAGAGGAGGCTGGGGCCTTTTGAGAGTGCAGTCGGATGGAGAGGAGGAATGACTGTGGGACTGGAGGAATGCTTGAGATTTGCATATTAGGCTGTCCCACTGGCAGAGTAGGAGAACTGTGGGAAGTGGGGTCGTCGCTCGCTGTCAAATGACTCCATACTGTCATCTGGGGATAAAAGAAAAGGAAAACTCATCTGTTTGTTCATGTTAAGATACAACCTGATAAAGAATTTGGTTAAATATTTGCTATGATAGCAGTTAATGACAAAGACTCATTTCTAAACCTGATTACATTTCATAATGTTACAGTGAAAAAGAGTCATCATATACTACTGGGATTTTATGTAAAGGACCAGCATGAAGTAGTGCAACCCTAACGCTGCTTACTAAAACTAGTAAACAGAATCCACTTGGGGAATAGTTAACTTATAACCTATATCCGGCTTTTCTTTAATGGCTTCGCTCTCAATCTGCAGGTTTACTAGTGGTTCCTAGAATTTCTAAAAGTAGAATGGGAGGCAGATCTTTTAGGCTACGTTCACACCGCAGCCTGAAGTGACCCAAATCCGATTTTTTGGCCCACATGCGACTTGGATCAAATATTTTTGGATGACATTCATGTTTACTTCCGTAAACACAGAGCACACTGGCCTGTGACGTCATTGCGTCCTCTACTGCGCATGCGGGACACTTAGGTTGCATGAATGCGGTTCACACAGTAGATCACATACAAGTCGCATATATTTGGAAATGTGAACAGCAACGCAAAAAAATCAGATTTCACAAAAAAATCGGAATTGAGCATCAATGCCTGCAGTGTGAACGTAGCCTTAGTTATCAGGCTTCTCTCCTGTGGAACCAACTACCAGTTTTAGCCCGTGAAGCAGACATCCTGTGTACTTCTAAAGGGCTGGTTATCCTCCTGCAGCAGTGTGTCGCCTTGAGCTGGCATGCAGGTATGATGCAGACATTTTTAATTTTATGCTCAATATTGAAGAGTGGTCTGCACTGTGTTTATTTCACGCCACGACGCAAAGGGGGAAAATCACAAACTAGCTGTAGGTCTAGATACGGCCGAAGGGGTGAGGAAGTGGGGGCAAGTTTGTCTGACAATAGAGGGACATGAGAGAGAAAAAGAGCGGGGATCCAGGTGGAAAAAGGGTTCCTGCGTTCTGGCGCACCTCACTCTTCGCTGGTCCAACTATCGAGTTGTTTTCCGCAATGGCGGTCATACAAACAAAACAACCCGGTAAGGTATCAAACAGGAGACGCATAGTGTAGTGCGAATGTAGATTTGACCATTCAGAGGCCTCCTGTCTGTAGCACTTTCTGCGGTCACCTAAAATTTGGGAGAGCTGCAGCAGAGTGTCTGTGGAGGGGGCGGGGACATCTCTGCGTTCACCGCGACACTTTAAGAGTATAAACTTTCCTATTTGATAAAGCTTAGAGTAAGAAATGCTCAGGTTATCCTGAGCTATCTCTATAGATATGCTGCTATAGGCTTAGACTGCTGGAGGACATAGGGACCCTTTTTTTAATCATTCTGCTTCATTCTCTTTTCTTCCACTCAGAATTTGTTAATTTAATATCTAACGTTATGCTCTCTTTTGCTTTCTCTCATATTAGCTTCATCTGGTCTGTTCCTGTTTGGCTGTGACACCATCCTGTAGAGGGGTGTCGGCTATTCTAATGTCATGAACACCTTTGTTTGTAGATGTTTGAGCTTGGCCTTTTTTTCCCAGTGTAGTCCTGTTTGTCTGACTGTGACTAACAGGATGTGCTCTCTTTCATCCTCTGACATGGGAGATGGCTCAGAGCTTGTCTGCCTGGCAATGCGTTTCCTGGATGGGGCTGCCTGTGTAGCTGGTTGACAGTTGCCTTTTGTATCTTAGCCTCTTTCTCTCTGACTGCTTCTCCTTGAACCCCAGTCGGCCTTTGCAGATGGCCGCTCACAGCGAGTCGGGTTCTGCTGGAAGTTTCTTCCAGTTAAAAGGAAAATTTTCCTCTCTACTGTCGCTTCAAGCACGCTTGGTGTCAGGGATTGCCTTTGAGTCAATTCCACTGTATGATCAGGTTAAATTGTCTCTGTAAAGTGCCTTGAGATAACGTGTTGTGAAATGGCGCTATATGAATAAACTCAATAGAATTGGTTTCAGATGTTTTTTACAGAACATTACTGAACAAGTGGCATCATGAAGATGAAGTAACACAGCAGACAGGTCAGGGATGAAGCTGTTATGAAACCAAACTCTGAATATCTCAGGATTGTTCATTACTTTATTAACTTCAACCTACCAATGTGTGTGTGTGTGTGTGTGTGTGTATTAAAAATGAATCTTTTTCCAACCCATGTTGCATTAGGGGTAAAAAAAACAAAACATGTAAGACTCAAATTAGCACTAAAAAATAAAATTTACATTATTTTGCTGCCACCACTTTTTAAGCCATTATATCTTAATATAACAGCTTCACGGTTTGTTTTAATCACTTTGTGAAGTCAGTTTAAAATGTGCTGAATGTGTGTGTGGCCAGAAGGGGGCACAGTTTTCATGAGAAAGTGACGCTACCTTGTCCGGGTGGCGTAATGGTGATGGTTTGTCCTGTGAACTCTTCGTCGAAATATCTGGTATCCGTCTCTGAGGTAACTTGGGGCTTAAACGGTGGGACGAGCTGTTGGAGGGAAGGAGACAAGCTTACACCTCAGATCACAGCTATCCATCAGCACTCTGACATTGTGTGTAATCTTATAAGTCATCCTGCTTTATAGAGATCAAAGCCCACCTTTTTTTCATAAACATCTTGCCAATTTATCCCAGCAAAGAATTTGTGCTGCATGATTTCCTTGGCGTCATCAGGCCCTCCGCCTAACCTTGAATTACAGAAACAACACGTGTAAGGCAAAAGTTTTTCTACAAAGAATGATAAAGATAAATAAAACCTAGAAATGAGATTTGAGTCAAGACACTGGACAATCAGACCTTTCCATTGGATCCTTCTTAAGAAGACCAGAGAGCAGCGATCGGGGCTCAGGGCCGAGTGTCCGTGGAAAACGGATGTCTTCCATGAGGATGAGCTCAAACAGCTTCTCATGATCCTGGTTGTAAAAGGGCAGCCTGCCGCACATCATCTCGTACATCACCACCCCCAGACCCCACCAGTCCACAGCGCGGCCGTAGTCATTGTCTTCTAGGACCTTGGAGAAGGGAAAGTTATAAAGAGGATGAGATTTACTATTGATATTTTTGGTTTAAAATAAAAAGAGACATTCTTCTTGTTTAATCTCTAAAAGGCAATATTTCAGACATTTAGGTCTTTGAATTTTAAAAGCAAAGAAACAAAACATAAAAGATCTGATTTTCTGCTACTCTTCAAATCAGTGAAGTTTTTGACAGCAAATAATTTTTGTAGCCACTCCTCTTAAAACAGGAAATGAGAACCATATAAATAAAAGGACATCTGGAGCCGCAGGGTCAAACGCACTGTTCAAGTAGAGTTTTTAGAAACCACTTTTTATAGACGATATGCCTAAAAGGCTGAAAAATGATAGAGTGAGAATCACAAACATCATCTGCTGAAAGAGACACATTTCTTCTCACCCTTTTAAAACAAGTCTTCCTGTCTGTTTTACTGCTTTTGACGACCTGGATCACAACAAACCCAGAGTCTTAGATTTATGCATACTAACAGGCCAAAAGTGACGGCAAAAAATACAACTGACATATAGCTCAAACAGGGAGTCAGCAGCCAGACCATGGAGGTGTCCATAGCTCTTGTTTTTGATTATAAAAGTCATCAATGTAAGACCTTCAATCAACATCTTATTTATTTATGGGTTTCTGAAGTCAGTAGAAAATTCCCTGATATCTACGATAGTTCTGCCAATCCTAAAAGTTGTTAACAAATGGCGACTTTTGTTCGCATTTTTTTGTACACTGCTGGGTAACGAGGAAGATGTGGATGAAAAAACATTTACAACAGTTCCTGATTAAACCAAGAAGTCTCTGAACGTCCCAACCGACCCCCAACAAAATCACCCCCCAGTCAGAAGTCGTGTGTCCGCCTCAGCCAACACTGACTCACCTCTCACATTAGGGGAAGGTATAGAATTTCCCCTGGAGCCTTGCATATTTAATCACCTCAAGCCCTTTTTTTGCATAAACACAAACAGATCAACAAGCAGCAAAGATATTAGTCATTAACACAAGCAAATTACATCAAACTGATCAATTAACACAGCTGGGGTCACAGACAGGGAAGTACTGTGTCACAAGTTCTCTATAAGATATCTTTTTGGGGCATTTTCTGATGAGAAACTCCTCTGGTGTTATGCTTAGTGAACAGCGCAACCTGTTGCATGAGTAATGCGCTGCAGAGCGGAGTTGTTCCAGGGTGTCTGGGGACATGTACTGGATTCTACCTCTCCAGGCGGATGTTGAAGGTTAAATCAAGACGGTGAGAACAGTGTGTTCCCCCACACCTTCAGCAGCGTGATGCTGCAAAATGTGGACCTAATATTAGACACTTGAGTAAAAAGATGAGGGTGGATTTAAAGAATTAGACACGGACACAAAAGTGTACTGGCTCAGAGCGGGGGGTGGTCCTCAAGAAACAGATGGACAGAAGTGTCTGTAAAAAGAACAAGACTGGTGGGTCGGTGTGCATGCATGCAGCTTGCATGTCTGTGTGGGCCCTGGGTCTGGTCCTGCGGTGAGTGCTGAGCATCAACGAGAAAGGCCGGGAGGGCAGGGGAGGGGGTAACGTGAAGCCGGTACGGAGCTAAGATTACTGGGCTGTCTCTATTTCCAGCGCTGCTGTCGTGTGATTCACACCGTGCGACAGCTGGGCCCGCAGCTGCCCCATATATGTAGAAGAACACCACAGCTGTGAAGCTGCCAGGAGCGCAGGAGCCAAGCTCATCCCTCATATACGTAACCAGGACTGCCTGCTTGCCTATTTGGGGCCCGGCCTTAAGCTAATACTGTTACATTGCCCCAAAGGAGCAGAGAGAGAGAGAAAAAGAAGAGGATTAAAAGAAAAAACAGAAAACAAAACATGCTTGCTGGTTCTTTGGAGGTGCACTCTCCTTACTGCTGTTTTTCAGACCTACACTGACAGCCATTAATCTTTCAAGACGCTGAATACAGATCAGTGTTGGGGGGCTAGATTAAACACGTCTGCATTTTTCAGCTGCCAATAATGGTTTTCTTTCTGTAAGTGTTTAATAAAAGTAACTAAGTGAATTTGCCCAGGTCTGTGGTCTGAAGACACACTGGCCAGGCTGTTGCAGATGGAATCCGTCCTCCCTACCTCTCCCTCTTTCTCCATTTCTTTTTCTCTGCAGCTCTGGGTGGAATATTCCCAGACATTACAGCATTCCTGTGCAGCACACACAACAAGGTCATTGTTTATTGCAGAAAAACCTGTAACACTGCCTGGCCCGCACTCCATAGAGACGCTCAGCAGCGACCCAGTTACCATGGTGATGCCCCCTGATGTCTACCAGCGCTCCACTGGTGAGTTTGGAGCTGTCATTACAGAGAACCTTGGGATAAGGACAGAAACTGAAGCCTTTACAATAGAGGAACGTTTTTTTTTTTTTTTACACAAATGGTTTATCTGAGATTTGGATTATTGTGAGAGTTGGGTGCCATACCTCTTTACAGTTGTACTTAGTGTGATAATGTGACCACACTACAGGAAGAGAACATGAGTCTCCAAACTACCGCAGCGTCTAACAGCTCTTTCTCCACTGGATTTTGATCTATCCCACTTCCTGTTAACTATGTGCAGCCGATTTTTTCAAAAGAGATGCATTACAGTTGGGATGGTGTGTTAGGAATGAGGTGCAGTGGTAGGATTTCCAGCACACATAGCACTACACATGTAGCTTTAGCTAAATATATATTTAGTGTTAGGAATTATTAATCAACCAGAACCTCTTATAACTTTTTAATTCTGTGAGAATTGGTTATATATATATATATTTTTTTTTCTCGATAATTTGATGCCAAGGGTGCCGACCGGAAACAGGAAGCGCAGCAGAATCCACAGAAGTTTGTGCTCAAGTATCTGTTGTTTTTTTTGTTTTGTTTTTTCCCCTCTGTCACAAGTACAGAGAAACGAAATGAACTCTTTGAATTTAACCCATCCCCTTGGGGAGCAGTGGGCTGTCATTGTGCGGTGCCCAGGGAGCAGTGTAGGGTAAAGGGTCTTTGCTCATGTGGCAGTTTGTGGGAGTGGGGCTTAAACTAGGAACCTTAGGATTCCAAGCGCAATGCCCCAACCACTAGGCCGCCACTCCCTCTAATGTTTGTGACGCAGCATTAGAAAGTGTGGCTTAGCATTAAATAAAGACACGACCAGTCAGCTATCTGAGACACTGATGGGTTTACATTATGCAAAGGAAGCGGCAAGGCCAACATTAACACCACCTAACTCATCTTTGACCAGCTGCACCAGTGTTGTGATAAAATAGGTTCTCTGAGGGAATCGGTTCCTCTCCTTGAATATATAGCGCAGCTTCTGGAGGAAGAGTGGAGCTTTTTATATTTTCTTCCTCTTACTTTATGTCTTAACAGATACCCAACCTCGTTTTCGTTGGATAGAATGAAAAGCATCTTAATGTAAGTTTACTAAACTTCCAAATGATTTTAAATTATTTTAACTTCATCCATTGTTCATGAGTTCATTTGTGACATGTTACATATGATAAAACCCACTAAATGAGCAACAGAGTATGAAATCTGATGGTTCCTCTGTCCACAAGAATAAAACATCACTACTCTGAAGTCTAGTTGAGCGGAGCTGAGGTGCAGTAAGTGAGGCTGAGGATATAAACTCTGACTGGATGCGTTCCTGTTGCGCTGCTTTACCCTCCATCTCAGACGCTCAGCCTTGAACCAAACTACAATTAGACTCAGTTAAATAAAATAATACAAGTTGTCTTATAGGGCTTAAGTAACTGAAGCATCAGATACTTTATAAATGTGTTTTTAATGAGTTTTAAACCATTAATTTCCATGTGAAATTGGAACTGTGCAAATTCCCAAGATATTTATTAAAGTTCATGGGTTTGACATTAATATAAGGCTTAAATTAACTATGTAATCATTTATAGTGTAATTTAAACAAAGCTGGATGTTCAAGGAATTAGATTACATTGAGAAGTTCAGACCATATCATCCAGACAGAACTCTAGTTAGCGAGCTAATTAATAGGATATTAACTTTAATAATTCTTCTATTTAAAAGACCTGAAATCAAGAACTGATAGGATCTGTAATTGTAACAAACAAAAAAAAAATATTAAAAGAATGGTCAAAATTGTACATCTTACCATAAATCTGTATCCAAGCAAAGGAAAAGCAGAGTTTACGTGGCATTTTTACACTTTTAGTTTTCTTTCAACAGTGCTTTGATTGTTTTAACCAAAACAAAATCACGTTTGTTACATCGCCTCACAAAAAGATCCTCAACACGTTTAAGGACTTCTTTTGGCTTCCTGTCCAGAAAGGCTTTCTTCTTGTAATTCCTCTATAAAGATATAACCGGGGTAACTTCTATAGGAAAATTGTTTCACAGCATTTTATTTGATGGCAATAAGCTAAACGGTCCTGAACACAAATGCATTTTAAAATAATTTTTCTTCAATTATGCGGTGATGCTATACTGCCTCTTTGTCTATCCAATACAATCTTAATGCAATACAGAGAATCTGAGAATCTAAAGGGGTTTTAAGATGAGAGAAACTTGTAGGGGTGTTAATATATTTTTACAAGGCTCTGCATTTGCTCCTCAGAATGCTTTGTGGGACCATGTGCTCAGGTCAGGTGAAGCATCCCAAGCAGGCCTATTCTGGTGCCATATAACAGCTGTAATCCATGTTCTCTTTCTTTTCCTCCTTCCCAGATGGAAATTCACATTTCCTGAGGTCCTGCCAGTCAAACATCTTCTTCTCTAAATGCTAAATTCCTAAAGCAGTCTAAAAACAAAAAATAGGGCAACTGTGTCAACATGGAAACCCTTCTTCCGGGGAGCATTTCTATGATCACAGGCTGGGAGAACCCACAAGCACGCTTCGAACACTCCCAATACAACATATCAGGTTACACATCCAACACTTGTCATAGCTGCATGCAACAGTAAGTAGCCACACCCTTACCGAGCCGGCAAATATGAGAGCAGGCGGCCCTGCCCTGGGCACTCTGCTCACTCATTAACCCAACTTCAGCTGGAGATTAGAGAGGCATTTTGGGACAGCTGCTGTTTCCTTCAAAATACTTCCCTTGCATTGACTGACATCCACTAAGGCATGGAGTGTCTTGGTTAAGGCTGCAAGAATAATCCACTAATTCCCTTTAAATTTGAAGACAGGACTAAGTATAAGGATCCATACTGTACTGATTAGTTTAAAGTGCTTTTAAGAACAAATTACTGCACAGAAAAGCTAAATGAAAGCTACAGACTCCGGGTAAGAAGTAGAAAAACCAAAAGATAAAACCGTGATTAATCGGGAAATCCCAAAAACAAAATGAATAAAAACACAAATGACGTTCTATTCTGGGTTTAAGGCCGGCGAATCAATGGGTTCTTGTAAAGTGAGATTTAATGTCAGAGAGGGTGGAAGTCTGTTTGATGTGAACTGATAAAACATTCCAGAGACTCGCAGCAACTTAAAACATTAAAGACGTCTTTGGAATGACTGAAAGCATCTCGCTGTCAACCTAAGAGTGTGAGCCAAATATGACAACACCTTAAAATACTTAAAAAAAAATAATTAAAATAATAAATTTAGAATTTCATTTTAAGAGCAAGAAGCAAAGCTAAAGCTTGAGCAATGTGCTAATTATTCTTGCACCTATTAGAATTTAGGCTGCAGCATTTTCTGCCAGATGAAGGTGATCAAGGGAAGCCAGACTGAACCCAAACATTATGGTTATTAAATATAGAGGCCATAAAAACATGGATAATGGTTTCTATTCCTGATAAAGTTCACTTGATGAATTCCACTTTCTTCTATAGTTTTTGCTGAAAAAAAGCCAGATGTGACCCCAGTTGACATTGTTCCCTGGTTTTAAACGAGCCTAAATTTTAAGATCACATTTTTAATCAAGCATTTTTTATTTTAAAGGCTGTTTGGACTGAGAAGCATTACTTTTCATTAAAACCATGACAGTGTGATCAAACATCACAAAGGCAGTGGAAGAAGATCGAGCTAGAGAAGAGAGAGCTAGTAAGGAGCTAGAAGAGAGACAGAACGCAGCATATGTCATTAGAGGGGAATAAATCCGACAATCTTCTGTGTGAAGATAAAAGGTTTACTGTGCAGAAGCAGGTAGAGAGAAAATAATTCAAGAATGGGAGATAGATGGACACCCTGTGTAGGGATGAGGAAAAAAATTCCAAAAATGATTCAAGCTCCATTTTGTTTTGTGTTTAGGTTAGGACTAAGTAGTAAACACTTACTCCAAATTAAGTGTATCAAAGTTATCTGAACGCTCTTTTCTTTCTTAAAATCTTCAAGTAGGTTCACCACCATCAAACCCCACAGAACAAAATGTAAGGCAGACTGGGCATTTTTCACACAGTCTATGAGAACATTCTCTTCCATATGTGTAAATGATTTTAAAACCCATTTAGAAAGACGTTTTTGCAGCTGCAAGCCTGAAATCGGGATATCTAATGTTTACCTCAGGTGCAAGGTATTCTGGCGTCCCGCAGAACGTTTTCATTGTGGCTCCGTCCTTGATCCCTTCCTTACAGAGCCCAAAATCTGTGATCTTTATATGTCCGTCTTTGTCCAGCATGAGGTTTTCCAGCTGTAGAGATATAAACGAAAGGAAAAGAAATAAACAAAGAAACATTTTTAAGTTGAGTATTTAGAGATTTATGAAAAAATTTTAAGCAAAAAAAAAAAAGGGAAAAAAAAAACACTTTAATTGTTATGACTCCCTTTTGATTGAGGACCAAATGTGCAACTCGGTAAAAGATCTGCTTTAAAACTTATAAACAAAGAATATATGACATGTGAATTATATAAATAGAAATAAAATATTTATTTAAATACATTAATGACTAAAATAATCTTTTAATATAATAAAAAAAGGAATTATTTATAAAACAAAAATTTCAAATATATATTTTTCATTACAATCAATTTTGAAATAATAATAATAAATTAAACAGTCCCTAATATCTGATTGGTTAGCAAACACAGCCATTAAATCCTTAATAATATTTTATAACACACAGTTCTGCAATTGTATTAAAACACTTTTTATTTTAAAGTATGAATACAATTTTTCATAATTTTCTGAATCATTAAATTAGTGAAAAATGTTAACATTCAAATATTAGATATTTCTTTTCTTAATAAAAGTGTGTTCTTTTTTTAAAACATGCATAACTTATCATTTGTTGAATTTTAGTTTTGGCTGGTCAATATTGTTTAAAACCAGTTGAGTAATTTTGTTTTTCAGTGATGCTAAAGGCTCTAAAATGAATGAACTCGTCTCAATGGGTAATAAAAATATCTGCAAAGAGGAATTGCGTCTCTAATTCGACACGGCTAACAATAAAAAAAACGTTCCTTCTTCCCTTTTTGAGAGGTAAAAAAAAAAAGGATGTGTTTTATTTCCCCAGTTTGGCAAATTAATCTGAAGAACAACATGTGAGCTTGGGGAATTTTTACACTCAACTTGCTGCTCATGTTATTTCATGTTCTATGCCATACTTAGAAAACACACAAGCATTTATCTGAATAGTTACGCTGCAGTTCTGTCTCCTTGTTTAGGGTTTTTTGTTCCTCCATCAACTCTGAGGAGTTTTTTCTGTCCCTAATGAAGAAAAGAAACACAATGGAGCTGCCGCCACGTTTCTCTATGGGTATGGTGTATTTAGATTGTTTTTGCTCCCCAGTGTTTTGGATCGCTAAAAGAAGCCTCCATACAACAGCTGTATTATACAGAAAATCACATCCATTCATTGAGTATTTTTAGAGGTAAATATCAAATGGATCTCAATACATGTCCAAATCCCAATTTTCAGATTTTTTTCACCTATAAAACATAGAAGAATTACTTTGTTTTTTCATCCACTTCACAACTATACAAAAAAACAAAACAAAAAAAAAACATCCGGATAAGATTGATAACTAAAAGGTTTAATAGGTGTTAATACTTTTGCAAGAACTACAAACTAGGACATGTGGAGGTAATCAGACCTGTAGTGACATGGATTATTTGGTGTCATGACTCCCCCTCTTTAAGTGTCTACCTCTTTCTCTTTAAGTCACCTAGCAGCTGTAGCTCACACGTGGCCAGAAGCGCCCGGTCAGAGTCAGCACATCCTCCAATCCTGCTACCCCGGCATTTTCTGGAGAACCCTTGCAGGCTGGGAGCCTGCCTCGTAAACCCAAGGGAAGGGAGGAGGGAGGGAGAGCTGCGCTGTGCTGACCTGGCTGGTATAGTTTTATCAGCTGGAGGATGTACGGCTAGAGATGCCCACTGCAGCACTGATAGCATTCCTGAATCCAAACACGGCTCTTAAAAAGGCCCAATTAGAGCTGTAAAGATAGGTGTGTTTTTTTTCCTTTCCTTTCTTTTGCAAACAAAAACCTGCTAAACTGCAGCGTCGCAACACAAAATAATATTGCAAAGTGGAAAAATGCCACACTAAGGGCTCTGCATGCGGGCCATTAGAGACAATCCTGGTTATTTGTGCTTCACTGCAGTGTTCGGACCACTCTCAGGTCCAGCTGCAGTGCTGTCTAGAAGCAGATCAATAAGCCAAGTCCACTGCCACAGCTCCAGATGGAGGCTAACTAAAATATACAAAGCTCTACTAAGTGTTTACACTCCGTCAACATGTACTGTTTGCACACATTTTAATCAAAAACTTGTGTTTTTTATTTGGGATCTTAAATGATCAACACAAAATACCTAAAAGTGTGAAGTTTAAAGAAAGAAACCTACATAGTTTAACTTTGAAGAAAAATAAGGTTACAAATGAAAGGTTTTGTGTGCCTATATAGTCATCTAACCTGAATAAATACCTATGAAAAACATTTCAATGGAATTATAGCTGGAAGTTTTAATAGGTACATCTGTACCAGCTTTGTTTATCAGTCCAGCTCTAAAGAGCTACCATCATGTTAAGTTTAGGTGCATCTCGTCTCAAACACATCTGAATCTCATGAATTGCTTTTTGCCAGGCCTCTGCAGATCTGAGAAAGAGCATGCTTATGAGGGGTTCAGCCACAGTGAAGAAAATGTGCATCTAAAGGCTAAAGCATTGGAGATGTCGATAGGTGGGGTTGAACACCCCCAATCTAGACGTGGCCATATTGACCCTTTGCATATTCTCATTGAGTAGAAAATGCAAAGTAAGTTTTTTCTCTAAATAAAATTTATTGTGTTTGTGTGCATCTATCCTATCTCAACCTGTATTTTTTTCTTCTATCTTTTCTTTATTTTTTTTTATAATAAGATTATAGAAATAAATGAATAGTTAAAACCTAAACCCTAATAATTTTGACACAGTTTCTTTCGCATTTTTTTTTTAATCTTCATACATTTTCTTTTTACAATTTCTATCTTGTATTTAGCTCCAGATTTTTTCTGGACCATTCAATCATATTAATGTACTTCAACAGGTATTTCTTTTCGCTTTGAATTTGTTTATAACAAGAGTATGGTGGTAAGGCGACAAAATAGAGTAAACAAAAGGAAGAAAGGTAGTTAAATGTGAGCAAATGGGCTCAAATTTTACTGTTACCTTGAGATCTCTATAAACCACGTTTCTCTCAGCATGCAGGTAGTCGAGCGCTGACACTATCTCTGCACCGTAGAACCGAGCCCGTTCTTCTGAGAATACCCGGTCTCTTGACAGATGGAAGAAAAGCTGAGGAGGAAAATGGGAGATTTATTTTTGCTGCCAAATAAAAGCAGAGTTAAGGAGTCCAGAGGACATGGCAAACAATCCATCAGTGACAAAAAAGTACAACAAATGTCTGAACCGTGAGTACGTGTTACCTCGCCACCATTCGCATACTCCATTACAAAACAGAGGCGGTCATGTGTCTGGAAAGAGTATTTCAATCCCTGCAGAAAAGCAGAGTTTTGGGTTTTCAGCAAAGTCAATAGAAAGGTTCCCTTTTAGCAACAAACATACAATCATAATATTTGCATTTGTAACAACAAATATTAAATCTAAGGAAAAGCAAACTGAGGAAATCAAAATATAGCATAGAGAGAATTCAGCATGTCGAGTCGATTAAAACCTTTTTCTATAACTTGTCAAGTTCATAAAAGTTACAAGGAAAATTATTTAAATTAAAATTACAACTACAAAAAGCTTTAGTTTTTCAAGGTATCCCTGTTTCCATCAAATAAACAGATACTTAGATATCAAAAACAACAGAAAATAAACATTGCTTAGGTTTAAAAAAAAAAAAAGGTTTAGTTGAGAAACACAGAGAGCTTCTTACAGTCAAGAACGGATGCTTTGAATTCTGGAGGACTCTGTTCTCTGTGAGTGTGTGCGCCACTTCATCCTGCAAAAAAAGAACAGCACAAAGAGTGTTTGTCTAACTCTTACAACGGCTAACTATTTAGGTATCAGTCGTTGCTCCCCTGAACTCCAGAATCTAAGTGTTTTTCAGCCTTTACTTGCAAATTGGCAACCACTCACTTTAGCTACGATCACCTCCTTCTTTAGGATCTTCATGGCATAGTAGCGTCCTGTGGCCTTCTCCTTTACCAGAATAACTTTGCCAAAAGTGCCTTTTCCCAGGAGTTTGAGGTATTCAAAGTCGTGCATAGTCTAGAAGGCCAGAGCAGACAAAGTGGTATCCGGTTACAAACAGGAGAATTAGCAAACTTGAGCTTTAACTAGCTCAGACACAAAATCCCACTGACAACACCACTAAAGCATTTTAGGCACCATTTTACCCACTAAGCAATTTCCACTCCACTAATGGTTTGCCCTAAATATGGTTGGGTCTTTGTTAACCTTTGACCCCGGAGAGAATGTTGTGAACAAGTGCGTGTGTGTCTTTGTGTGCCTGCTTGCAGGTCATCCAATCCGGTTGCCCTCACACACCAGTGTTACCCCCCTAGCGAAAAGGTTTGTAGCCTAACATTTCTAAATGTTTAACAATGTTAACTGATTTATGCTTAGTCAACATTTAGCTGCAAAATAATGAACCATTTAAAAGAGGTTTCTGGAAAAAAAAAAACAGCCCAAGCTCTATCAGATTGAGTTAACTTAATTTCAAATAATATCACAATTCAACAAAACGCTATTTTTAAATCACAGAAGCAATCAGTTTTGGTCACATTGCATTTAACAAGAGCAAGACTAAAAATTTTAGAGATCCAACATTTCTGGCACAATTTCACCAACTTCTAAGGTGCATAAAAATGGTTAATGAACTGATGGGGTAAAACACTTTAATTCAGGGCGGTTCAGCTTGTGTTCTGCTTCAGGCACTTTTATTTGAAATAAAGTTTGTTCCTGTACTTTCAGTGTTGCTGAAGTTTTCGCCTTTCTAAGACTAAATATTTCACTACATCTCTTTAGGGGTTATTACTACGCATAAGGTGGGTTTGTTGCTGCACAGAAGGGAAGAGAGTTGCAACCACTGATCTCTATTCACTGGATTGCTGATAGACCGAAAAAACTGACGTAACCTGCCGCCATCTTGGTACTCCCCACTTTAATGGAGTCACGCTATATAAATATCTGTAATATAAAGTAATTACAAAATCAATGTAATGAATACATGTATATTACATATACATCATCAATTTAGCACTTTTGGCACATCATCAGATAGTGTGTGTATAATATTCTTAATATCTGACCATTAACACTATTTTTGTTGTGATGGATTTGTATAATATGTAATATTACATGATTTAGACTTCATTGCCTTAATACTGAATATGCAATGTGATGTGCCTATTTTTTTTACCAAAAATTACAGTAGAATACAGATACTGTGAGACAGCAAGTCAAAGTGATGACTATCTTTATTTTAAAAGTCTTAAGCCCCCCTGAAAATCAGACCATCATCGTTGTTCGATGCTGTAGTGCACATATTGTTTACATTCCTACCGGCCTGACAAGGGACTACCAATATGGCGGCTGGTGACGCCACGGCCTCTTGTACTACCAACGGCCTATCAGCAATCCAGTGAATAAATAGAGATTAGTAGTTGCAACTAGCACACAGATCCATGCATGCAAACAGAAGTTAGCAATTTTTCACACAAAGGTCACAGTAAAGTCCTGCAAGCTTCCAAGGTCAATTCTGAGTGAATCGCAGGCTGAAGCAGTGACTCGACCAGACCAAGAACTCTTTCCTTAAAGATTTTCACATTATGCATGCAAATACGTTTCTTCTTCTTCTGTTACTAGCTACCTTTATTTACTGCATTGCATGTCGGGTTGTTTAAGACATGTCGTTGAGATCAGATCGTCAGATCTTACAGTGTGAGGGAATACATCGCAAACTGTGAACTTTTTAACTAAAAAAAGACGGAATTTTAGTTGGGGCTGTGAGCAGTGATTGAACATATCAAACAGTGTATCCCAAGCTTTAAACCAGTTTAAAGTCTACTGCATCTATTTTTTTAATAATGTGCTGGAAGCAGTTGCATTAATTGTTGCAGAGTTTTCATCTGACCCAAGTATGGCACCACATGATGCTGATTGTTCATTAATGTCCACCAACCTGACAGGCCTTCAAAGTATCTGGAAGTATAGATGAATATGGATACTTTGGCGAAGCACAGTGCAACAGAGGGTATACATAAGATAGAGTACCACTTTGTGTCTGGGTTTGGTCAGGTAGACCTCCATGTCCATGGGGTCTGGAGAGGAGTCCATATTCTCCTCTTCCTGTTTATGGAGGCCTTCAGTCACTGCCTGGATGGCTTTGGTCCATTCTTCCCTGAATTAGACAGAGAAATCCGAGATTAAATCAGCTCGTTTTCCATCCAGCAGCCCAATCATGCACTTGTCTTATCAACAGGAAGCCAATTTCACGTGTGAGTTCAGCCAAGGACTGAGGACTTTGACTAACTGTGCTACAATGAATTAATGCAAACATCTGTACTTTTCTTCATGATTTAAAAACAAACCATGTCTTAATCTTTACAGAAATGCTTGTCATGTAAACGGTTTGAGTTTTTACAGCTAAAACATGGAGAGGTATGTGTGTGTGTGTGTAGGTTCAGAGCTTGCCTTTCCTCGGGGCTCTCCACGTGGAAGGTGCGCTCGATGACAGTGGTCCACTGCAGGCAGCGGATGATAAATGTGTTGGGCTTGGGCCGTTCCGTCTTCATCAGCTGGCACTCTGACCAACAGCCAGGGAGGGAGCGGGTAGGGAGATGAAGAGAAGGGCCAGTGTTGTAGGGCAAAGAAGAGGAGAGAGACAGACCCACAGTTATAGCCATTTATCTTTATCGCCTCCCTTACAGACACTGTCGGCCAATTTGGAAAAGAACAGGTGCACTACAGTGGAAGAGATTTGAAGGCTCGCCTAAAATGAGGCATTTGCAGAGTTTTCCTCTCCTCATCTTAATATGTGAATTACTTAAGTTCAGCATCAGCACCAAGGAAGGAAGGAAGGAACTTAGAAAGGAAGGAATAACGGATATGTTGTAAGGAAAGGAAGAAAGTTTGGTAAGGAAGTAAGGAATAAAAAAACATAAGACATCAAATCAAATTTCCTAAAACCCAGTAGATTTTGTATGTTTTAATAATTTGAGTGTTTTTCTATAAATTATCTCGACATATGGAGAAATTTATCTTTCTGAGCTCTTATAAAATTGTTATTTTCTTAGCCTAACAGTCAAAACTCTTAAATTACAACAACTGCTGATGGAAAAAACTCAGCAGGCTTGATAATCCTGTCAGAATTTACTAATACACACGTCATCACTTCCTTCACATACATATCCTTTCCCCATTTTGTAGCAAATAATAGTTATGTAAGCAGTTTCCAAAAACAATTAGTCACGATGTTCTCCAAACTGAAAGAACAAAAGCAGAGATTTCCATCTGTACCTTCTTCACATTAACATCTGTTCTCAAATGAAACATGTCAGCAAATAAGTCTGGATGCCACACAAATATGAGCCCTGTCTGATAGATGGAGGACTACAAGTGGACCACCACTGAGATCCAACATGGCTCCATCAGGGTGAATGTGGGATCCAGCTGCAGCCGCCCCCTCAGCAGCGACGCACCATGTGTCCTTTATGATGGGGTCGCTTTGGTGACAAGAAAAAAAACATAACAACCCCGCGAAGGGTTCATGGATGAAAATAAGAGCCTCAGAGCGAAGCCCAGATAAATAGTCCAAATCAAGCCGCTAATGGTGATGATAACTGAGGAGCGCCAGGGAGCAAACATGAGGTTAAACTAGCGGTGTGATCTCTAAATGTTGTGTTCAGTCAAGGGTGTGGCTTTCTGTTATGGGAAGTGTGTTATGGAGTGTTGCTTTTCTTTAATTTTTATGTATATAGAGTATTTATATATGATTTCCTGTCACAATAGAGCAGAAATATTATGAAGCTAACAGAGAAGGAGGACAGCAATCGGACATTACCAGGTGTATTCTCGGGGCTAGAGGCTCCCATGCTTGCAGGGATGCAGTACAATTCTTATCAATGGAAGCAGGGGGAGATTGAGGAAGGCATATGATCCACTATCAATGTCATCTTTTAAGCACCTGGCATACTTTTCTCAGGGTAATCTCTCTACTTACAGGCATAAATACTCATTAATCAATCTACAAATAACTTGAATTGAGTAGAAAATGTGGTGAAAGGCTTAGTCCATGCTGAGCTATCGATTCACTGTAATATCTAATTGTCCATGGATATCGTAATCTATGGCAAGTTTCCGATTGGCCATAGTTAGCCGAGAAAACAGTGCTGAAAATGTGACTGTTTTATTCCATAGCTTCCTTATACGTTTTGCATAAACAAAGATGGTAAAAGTCTCGCCTGCTTTGGCCAGTTGACAAAGACAAGCAGTTTTTAGCCACATTCTAACAGAGCATATTTTTTGTTATTTGAATGCTGTTTCACCTTTACTGTCTTAACAATGAAGCTTTGCTTAAGACAGGATGGTCCTAAATGGGGATCAGAGTAGTAACAGGATTTAAAATAAAATGCAGACATCTCTCTCCCCAGCAACACTGCAGCTTTTCCTTAGCCCCACTTCTGGAACGGAGATGCATTCCCATAATACAGTATAAGGTATGCTGTGGGGTCTCCTCCATATCTAGCTGTGCTTTGAAAATCTCTATAGACACCGGCAAGATACCCAAACCTCCTCAGATGGCATCTTTTGATGGGGAATTTAAATCAGTTTTGAAGAATTATAGCTGTTTTTATTTATTTTTACATTTGTCTTTTTCTGTGTAAAATGCTTACTGTTTGTTTTTTTAGGTAGACAATTTTAAGATCTGCCCAGGGACAACAGATGAAAAATAGGCTTTTGGCTAATTCTGGTACATTTGCAGGAATGCTTTTTAATGTAAACTGTCCCTGTCAAATCAATAAATAAATCTAAAATCAAACCGTTGATAAACTGCCCCTTTGAAGGTAAAAGGTGTAACAAAGAAAACCCCAAAATGTTGGCTTCAGAAGGCCTTTGGGGACATGCAAACAACACATTTCATGTCTGAACCGGGGAACAAGATTAATAAGATAGAAAAGGTGCAAAGTGATTTTCTAGTGAGCAATTATTTACAGATGTGTAGTTGGCCCGGATCTAAGAGGGACTTCCAACAAATAGCTTACAGCTGTTAAGCTTTAAGGAGCTCTTAAAAACAGGTAGAAATATATAGAGCAACAAGTAAAAGTAATGGATTATTCCTGATTGACAGGACAATACGTTTAGATTGAAGTTTTCAATTTATATAAAAAGAAATTACTTATTATTATATAAATAACATATCTAAAATGAGCATATGAAATATTTACCACAAAATAAGGAGAATCATAAAAGCAGGAAACTAAAGTTGTTTTAAAGAAAAGAAAAAAGCGAGAAAAACGCAAGTGTGTGAAAAACAGGCATTTTTTTTTTTGTTCTTTCTGTGGTGGATACTCACGTGCAACAGAGAAGTTATTTAAGGGGGTTTCCAGCTGGTCAGAATCTTGTGGCCGCTCTTTATAACCGATGAATGTACCGTCACTCTTAAGGAGAAAATACCTCGGCCTCCAGGTCTTGATGTATTCTCCTGATATCAGAAACACAGACAGGAAACATTAGTTTACTGGGAAGCCACTGTTTTTGGATTAAACAACATGCCCACTGTTTTACAGCTGTCCTCTTTGGTCTGATGTGGTGATTATTTCTTTTTAGATGGTAAAGTTCTCAGAGACATAATTTTGGGGAGGATATTAAATAAAGACAGCGAATACGATTTATTTCTGGTTTATCTGAGGGAATATACACACACACGCTGCCTAGAAAAATATTCATTGCTCATTAACTTTCTATCACTCGGATGGTTTACAATCAAGACCCCCAGGATCTTTATGTCAAGTTAGTAAATCAAAATATGTTGTTGTGTGAAAATAAATTAAATGCTTTACATGCTTGTTTTTTTTATTCTGAAAACAGCAGTTAGAACAACTCTTCTGATGCTTACAATCAGTTTTATTCCAGGATATCCCTGCAGATAGTCTGTCTAAAACACTGTAACTTCCGCCGAAATGGCTGATTTTCACGTAACTGGCCACGATTAGCAACCGGTCATTATAAAGACAATTTCAAGTACTGGTCCTTGCATTTTTGATTTTTTTTTTTGTTTTGTTTTTTTTGTTTTTTGTTTCCTGAGTGGACAGCGTCATTCTCCTGAACTTGGTCCATGTTTATTTTGGTCAGAGCTTCTAAAAAACGGCGACGATTAACACGGACTAACTGCTGGAGGCTGCTAGAGGCTAACTGCTGGAGGTGGAAAAAGGACAACGTTGGATCAGAGACACTTCACACGCAGACCGAGCACCACAGCTGGGAAGAGAAGGCTGCGGCTTGCCAGTGTCTACTCTGACGGTAGAACGACGAAACAGTCTAAGACTAAATTAAAACGGCTTTTTAAAAGCCACCCAGAAATCTCCCGAGAGCATTCCCCACCTCATCGTTTGTCAACGTCTTTTTTTTCCTTTTTACATTTTGATTAAAAAAAAGCTTGTCTCTGTTGCCTCTTTCACTAAAACGGTGGTCAGTTCATGATGATTTTTTATACTTAATAATAAAATGTCAATGTACATGAGACAACAGCATTGAAGAATTTTTGGATCTGATGCTGTGACAGAATCAGCAGATACTGATTTTGGTGATCAGCTCCCAAAATCCTGATCAGTGCATCTCGTAATGTAACCAAATCGTAGAGATATTGCACACAGTTTTAAAAGTGGGTTTCTTTCCAAAAATGCGAAGACAAATTAAGGACTTTTAATCAAGGTAATCAATAAAAGTTGCTGCTTTCAAACTGGATAAAAATAACATAAAAATTTATGAATAACGTTATACCGAACTGGCTGGTGATATACTTTTGTATAACATAAAGGAAAACACCAAACATTCACAACAATCTACCAAAACACACAGAGGAAAGAATACCATCGTCCCTTAATTTGTACTCTCTAGTATTCCTGATTTCCCTATACCATTAATTGGGCCTTTTAGAATAAAAGTATCAATGACATGACTCCTCTTGATATCTGCCATGCATGTCCATCCTGCTCACTTACACAACTTGATTCACACCAATGAATCTCTGAACAAGGTCGAAATTCAATTTATTCTGGTGATGCTTCAGGAAATGTTGTGCCAGATGTTGTGCAGACGGAAGGGGGAAAAAACAAAAAAACAACCAACATACCATAACAAGGCAGTGGCACACAGTGGCGAGGAACTTGAATATTTATACTAGAAAAAAACTGTAATTTATTTTTAATTACGGAGCCACATATTAACCCCCTGCTGAGCAGCACCAAGCTGTCCTTAATTGCCCCATTTCCTCTAACACAGAACTGTGTCTGGTGTACAGAGATGTAGAAGATCTGTCAACACGAGCTTCTGCTACCCTCACTCAAACAAACTTCTGATTGATAAAACTGGAAAGAGATCAGTCAGTAGAAAACAAACAGGCACTAGCTGAGTGCTGATCCACATAGAAGAATTAAGGGTATATAAAACCGAACATAGCCCGACCTCCGTCGAAGTTCTTCTGTTGTGTTAACCGATCATTTCCTTTTTTACTTACGTTTTTCATTCCATAGAATTTACCTTGCATGACAGTAACCACCCCCATATTCAAAGTATGTCATTGGTGGTGTAGTGGTAGCGGTCACTGTTGCAGGTGTCTGGATTTTGATTCATGACTTTGAAAGCCTTGTTGCCCTGGTTTCCACCTGCTGTCTCTTTCAATTTCCTGTCTGATTGCTTTCAAAACAAGGCCACTAATATCACACAAACCCCATTAATCAAAAAGTAAGTTATGCTTTTTCAAATGACAGTATCAATGGCTGCTAAAAAGGCTATGACTCAAAAATGGTTGAGTTTGAAAATACTAACATCACATGAGTGGGTCAATCACATTGATAACATTTTCAAAATTGAAAGGAGTAACTGTAAACTCAAGTTAGAGATGGATATAATTCAGGACAATTGGTCAAAGTGGTTGACATATATGACAGCAAAAAAGCATGATATTCTATGATGCCTTATAAGTATAATACCCTCGTTGTATAGTTTTAAGACCCGTCTTTGTATTTCTAAGAGATGGAATAAAAAGTAAATGACAAAAGTCAATTAATGCTGGATAACTGCATTAACGGACAAAGTATTTTAAAACAAATATACTTGTCATCCGAGGAGATCCCCGTATATTTTATTCTAGTTGTCGAATTCCAGAAGTCATTTGTTTTATCTCTTAAAAAAAGGAATTTCCAGATCTTATTATGAAACAGTGTCATAACAAGAAAAGCCATGTTTCATAGGTACTTATTTTAAACACACAGGTTAGACTTTGTCTTCGTTTAAAGAACAAAGACAAAAAGAAAACCACTGTTTTCTTTTAAAAGGTGTTGATGTTTTTGGTACAGTTCTGAGTTTCTGGAGCCTTTTAAAGTTGTTTCATTCAGACAATGAATGTTTCTCTACATTTTCTTCTGTCAAGTCCATTTTTCATGTGGCATATCTGTGGTTTCACTTTTCTTTAACCACTGAAAGGTCAAAAAAAAGGGGAAACAAACTCAGACATAGTTGAATCAACGCACACACACAACTTTTTACGTTTTACTAGATGTGTGGGGTGTAAGCACCAATAGGTTGACTGACAAACAGCCAGTAGCTCAAAACCTTTTAGATGGTCATTGTTAACTAAATAAAAAGGCGGATATTTTCCACTTTGGTTTAAACGACTTTATTCATCACCTTTCTACAGTTTTATTAAGATCTTACACCTTTTCTGCCCCCCATTTTTCACTTCCCTTCTTTTTTCAAGCACACTCCAAATATGTTACCATAGACAGGCAGAACAAAAAGAAAAACCTTTGATTAAACGTATAAATGCTCTAACTGATGCCTTGTGTACATGAGAACCTATGTCTTAATGACACCGACTGTATAAATAAGAGTTTAAGAATAAAAAAGATTGGACACAACTACACAAAAAAAGTCTTGTTTATTGTAGAGTTATTAGAAAGTAACTCATCTTTTCTTAACAACACAGGATAGATGTGGTGCAAAGATGTGTCATTTGTCAGCTTGAAACCACAAACCTTTCAGTTCAGTCATTTACAAATATGCACTTGACTTCAAAGAATTACCACCCACAGTATTTCAGATCACCCAGCCACAGCAGAGAAATGCCCTCAGAGATAGTAAACACATGTTCTAAACACCAAGAGCACATATAAGGTGAAATTTATCAGTAAAGACAATGAGTTCACTTCAGCAATGACAAAATGCCAAAATCTAAGGCAAGAAAGAATGCTGAACCCTCTGTACCGAGCCTCGTTTTCCTCAGCTGGGCCCCAGCTGGTGACTTGTTCTCCTGACAGGTTTTGGCTGACCCATATTCCCCTGATATCCTCCATGCCAGCTAACATTGAGGACAGTATGTGCACAATGTAGAGGCAGGATAATGAGCCCTCTACCTGACAAGACACAGGCTCTGCGTATGAGCGGAACCTTGGTCACTTTACAGAGAACAACAAAAAAAAGTTTCAGTGATGAGGAAATAACATCAAAAATCCCTTCCAGACTGGGTAATATTCTTATATACACACACTGATGTGATGGGCAGAGACAGGTGTTTGACCACAGCTCTGTGCGCTTGTGTGCAAATAGATTTGTTTATACATTGGCTCATAGGCAAAAAAAAAGAAGGGCCCTGTGTGTGTAGTAGATTACATCAACACGCACTTTGGAAGGTGGAGAGCATTTCCTGCCAACTCTGCTGACGCATAGCACCCACCAGAGAAGCAGCATGGGTGGTACTAAATGACGCAGCAGCAATTCCAGGCTCGGAAAGCCTTGCATCTTGGAGACACTGAGGTGGCCTTGATGGAGATGATCAAGCCAGCCTTGCATTCTCAGTCAACAGAGTCGTCCAAGAATTTTCACTATGCTGAACTGTGATGTCAGCAGAGACAAGTTCATATGATTACCGAACTAGGATGAAAAAAAGCCCTATATGCTCACAGGGATTTGTAAAAAAAAAAAAAAGGCAACCAAGACATTTGAAGCACAAAAATTCTCTTCTAAATCAGAAAGAACTTTTGGGAAACTCCCCATCTGCAAAGCAAATTTTCACCTTGTACACACTGCTTTGAGACAGGAGGACACTGCAACTTCCTCGTGTGTGACCGCAAAATCTGGTCACATGACAAACAGTGGAAGTAGCTATATCCGGGTGTCTGCGACTGCGTCTCCGCAGCACTGCAGTGCAACACACACAGCAGGCAGACACACACACATCCAACGCAGACTCTGCTGAAAGCGTAAACAACAAAGATGACCCTTGGAGGCTTCCCGTTTACACTCATTTCCCCTTCTACTTTTATTCATCTGTACTTTCCACACACTTTTTAAGCGCTGACATGACAAGAAAGTGAAACCGACAGCTGGGCTTTTTGAGTCTTTAACAGTTAGCGTAAACAAAGTTGGGGACAGACTGCGGTCACAGACTTGCATTCAGTTAAAAACTGATGCAAAAAAAAGCTC